TGGAGATTCAAATATGTTAACTATGTCTGCCCCAGGCTTTTTCTTCTGGGATATGTGTACATTGCATGCTTTTTGTGCAAGAATGCAGGCTTTTTGTGCAAGAACAGCTATTCTTACGCAAAGACTTGCTGGGTGTCTACACTGCATGCGTGTTCTTGTGCAAGTAAATTTACAATACAGTGTCGGAAAACAAGGCTTCTTCCAAAAGAGTTATTTCTCTCCCCACGAGGAATAAGCCCTCTTGCGCAAGAACTCTTCCACAAGAAGGCAGTGTAGACAGGCAACATGATTTTCTTGCACAAGAAACCCCTATGGCTAAAATGGTCATGAGAGCTTTCTTGCACAAGACAGCGTCCACACTGCTATGGACGCTCTTGTGAAAAGCACATCTCTTGTGCAGAAGCACATGGTAGTGTGGACGTGCTCTTGTGGAAGACTTTTTGCACAAGAACTCTTCCGCAAAACAGTTCTTGAGCAAAAAGCCTGCAATGTAGACGTAGTCCTATTGTTTATAATACACTCTCTTGCAGTCCTAATGCTTTCCTTCCCACCCTCCCCCGTCCTACTAATCTGCTGCTATTCCAGGTGTCACACTTTAAAGTATAGTTTCAGACTGCCAATACTTGTTGTCCTAGATTCATACTCAGCACAGCTCTCAAATCTTGACCTCGAGGAAGACTACAATATAAATTTGTGAAACAAAAGCAACCACCTTCATCTTTTTCAATGGATACCATAACCTTATTCCTACACACTACTCCTTATTCATGCTGATTTGGCTACAGGTTACATGGTGACTGCTAGGGCATTCAAATGCATAAGATGACCTTGTCTTTGCAAAATTCTCTATTTATTAGCAGTAAATGGAAGTTCAGAAGTTATACCATGAGTCAGAAATCAATGATTTTTAAACTGAAAAAGATATGTAAACTCCCCCATGAGTTTACATACACAAAAATATATTGAAAACACTGTACATTTTCATGTCATTTTTCTCCCCCCTCTTTTCCTCCCCCATGACACAAGGAAATATACTGACAAAGTAAGCAACATTCCATTGGGGCCAGGAACACTTCCTCAGCCTCTTAAACCTAAAGTTTTCCTTTGTACCTGGTTTTGTTAGTGTCTCATCAAAAGTGTATCTGTGGTTATCATCCCTCTGTTCATTTTGCAAACAAACAGAAGGACCTATTACATAGAGAAATCCTCCTATAACTCAATTTAGAAATAGACAAATCTATAGAGCCCAATTCTACGTGCTGATGTTGAAGTAAATCCACAGGAGTTAGGGGAGTGTTAGACGGAGCTGGGAAGGGACTCGAGCTTATGCTCTATTGATCACAAGAGCACTACTGTCTCTCTTCAAGTGGACCTGTCAGCTGGGTCTACTTCCCTGGGTTCCGCTTGAGAGCGCTTTTTGCTAGCCTAGGGCTCGGGCTGGGCTGAGCCCTTTCGGGCAACCTAGTGAAGGCCACGCTGGAGGCAAAGCTGTTGATGCTATTGGATAAGGAACGAAGATAATTTGCATGGTTGCAGCAGGAGCTCTGCTCACTGTCTTCCCTACAGCCGGGCTGGGCCGGCGGGCGGGGCGGGGTGAAATCGAAGAAAACTGGGGTCAGATCCTGGAGCCGGGGAAAGGGGGGGGGGGTTGAGGGGGAAATAGGCTGTGCCTACCACGCTGCGGAGGGGAAGAGCTCTCGGACCCTTACCGACTCGGCCAGCAAGAGCTGCCCTTTGCGGGAGCAGAGGAACTCCCTCGAGGGCAGGAGCGTGCGGAGGCCTGGCGGAGGCGCCGGGGCATCGGGCTCCTCCGAAGCGGGCTGATCCATTGCCGGGAGCGAAGCGGGGCGCGCTTGGGCAGCTGTTGAGCGCCTTGGGACTTGGATTTTTTTTTTGTAAGGAGGGAAACGGAAATCGTGACACAGAGCTGCCCTTTGCGGGAGCAGAGGAACTCCCTCGAGGGCAGGAGCGTGCGGAGGCCTGGCGGAGGCGCCGGGGCATCGGGCTCCTCCGAAGCGGGCTGATCCATTGCCGGGAGCGAAGCGGGGCGCGCTTGGGCAGCTGTTGAGCGCCTTGGGACTTGGATTTTTTTTTTGTAAGGAGGGAAACGGAAATCGTGACACTGCGGAAATGTGAAAAAAAGTTTTAAGCAGCAGCAGCAAATCTGGGGAGTGCGTCTGCCTGTGCTGCAGGGCTCTGGTTCCTCCCGCCTCCTGCCCGCAGTTTGTGGCAACTTTTAGCAACCTCCGGGCGCCCGCAGGTAGCCAAGGTGTGTAACACAGCTCCGGCCTTCTGCACTGTCAAAGCAGAAAAGAAATGAGCTGCTTGTATGCGCTTCTTTGCATTTCTTGATGCACCTTGGTGCAACAGCGCTGCAAAAATCCGGCATCCGCCTATTTCTTCCCTCCCCGAAAAGTAATGCCAAATTGAAAAGTGTAGAGACGCCTATTACATCAATAAACACAATTTTGATGCTCCGTGGTACGATATTACTAGAAATGCCTGAATCTAATTATTTTTTTGGCCAACTCCATACATTCCAATGCCTAAAATAACTAGAGAACAAATGTGTTCCTTCCACACAAATACACTTGAATGCCAATGGATCCTGATGCCACAGCATTGCAAAAACCATTTAATTTTAGGTTCTCAATCTCAATCCCTGGCTGCATAGGCTTGCACAAAAGCGGTCACTTTTGCGTCAAAACTTGCTGCTTGTCTACACTGGCCGTGAGTTCTTGCGCAAGAACACTGACGTTCTAATGTATGAAATCAGTGCTTCTTGCGCAAGAACTATGATGCTCCCGCTCAGGAATAAGCCCTCTTGCGCAAGAGGCCAGTGTAGACTGGCAACATGAATTTCTTGCTCAAGAAAGCCCGATGATTAAAATGGCCATCAGAGCTTTCTTGCGCAAGAGAGCGTCTACACTGGCAAGGATGCTCTTACACAAAAGCACATCTCTTGCGCAAAGGCACATGCCAGCGTAGACGCTCTCTTCTGGAAAAGTTTTTGCACAAGAACTCTTCTGTAAAAGTTCTTGTGCAAAATCATGCCAATGTAGACGTAGCCCCATTCTTTACTGTCTTTCCCTGTGTCCCCAGAATAATCCAAATTCCAGTACATCATCCTGCAACAGTGTTGCAACACACCATGAACAAGATAGCATTTTGTTTCTTCCATTACATGCAATACTTATAATTGACAGCCATAAATTTAATTCTGTGTACTTGAACTAGTTAAAAGCACTAGAAACAATTTTCTAATCTGAGATGGTCCATAAAGGTATGTCTACACAGCAGAGTTATTTCAGAATAAATGACATTTCAAAATAAATTGCAAGTCTAGAGATAAGCAGCTGGAGGACTTCTTACTCCGGGTCCAGTAACCCTCATTTTAGGAGGACTGAGTCGGTGGAAGAGTGCTCTATTTTGAAATAAGTACTGTGTAGACATTCCTAAATTCAACAAACTATTGTAACTAAAGCTGCGCAAATAGTGTAACTCAAGTTGCATAGTTTATTTTGAGTTTAACCTTGCTGTGTAGACCTATCCTAACCGACCAGCCATTTAAGCAATGAAATTTACATTTCAGTCTTTATTCATTTATTTTAGGCAAGAAGAAGAATAAGCAGGGCATTATCTTAGTGGATGAAATAACAAGGAAAGTGCTGATTGACTGGGAATCAAGTATGGGACTATACCACAAGACAATTTTACATTTATAAGAACAAGGGAATATAACAAGCAACTAATGTAGGTTGTAGATACAGTATCTCAAACTTTCAGAACATACATGCACTTCTGAAAGAATGACTTATCACTGCTAGAGACAAAAGGCAAATACATAAGTAAATAGAAAAGAAACCCTATTGGGAAGCTGTAGAAACTCTGAAAACTATACTGCATCCATTCAGAGAAAGAGGCAAGAGGTCACTTATCAGAATTAATTAAATTTATGCATGGAAAGGTACAGAAGCTGCTCTAGTAGTATTAAGAATCTATACTGGAATTTTCAGAGATGGGTCTAGAGTCAGGCTCCAAGTATCTTCCTCTTCCATGGGGGAATTTTCACCTACTCACTTAAGGCTTCTTCTGTGGAGAAGTGAACCCTACCTTCTGCCATGGCTCATTGTAACAAATACTGAGAGGGAAACAGACTTGAAATTCACCAAACTTTCACTTCCCTATCCAGAAATTACATGCTAAGAAGTGAAAAGATCTTAGTGCAATGTCACTGATTTGATTGTATACACAAAATGTTTGCAAAGCAGAATTTTAACATGAAGCCAGTTTTGTTTTCACATATTACTTTGACACCTGCTTTGCACCTGTCAATTTATGACTACTGCTTATACGTAACCTTAAAATACAAGTTACTTTCATCATGGGAGTACTATTCAGTTTGAACTAGGGATGTTAAATATCAGTTAATTGAATAGTCAAGTAACCTCATGAATTAGTCGACTATTCTATAGTCCCCGGGGACAGAGCTGCCAGCCAGTGTGCTCCGGCCCCAATCCTGAGGAGTCCCCTGTCACTCTGCATGGGGTCCTAGGTGGGAGCTGGTCCATGAGGAGAGCCAGTTTAAAAACCAACTCCCCTCGCAGACCAGCTGTTTATTTCCCTGAACTGCTGCCTCTGATAGACAGGCAGCAGTGCAGGGTGGCAGCAACCCCTGTCCGGAAGGGGGTGAAGAATGCATGTAGTGAACCAGTGGTCCCCAACACAGTGCCTATGGGCACCATGGCACCCGCCGAAACATCTGGGCTGCCCCCCCCCCCAGTGTGCGGCACATGCGTGGTGCTGGCCCCGGGCACTTGGCGCATGGACGGCTCCTGCCCTGGGCGTGCAGCACATGTGCGGTGCCGGCTCCGGGCATGCAGCACATGCGTGGTGCCGGCTCTGGGCACATGGGCAGCCCCGCTCTCTGGCGCCCAGCAGCCACGAAAGGTTGGGGACCACTTATAGCATTAACCTATAAGCTTTTGCTTATCGGTTAATTGACTATACTATTACATCCCTAGTTTGAACTGTGCTTGATCTGTAATGTTGATTCTGAATAAAGCACAAAAGGTTCTTCAGCAGCAATTTACTGAAATTGCACTGCTGTATTTCATTTTCCACAAAAACATCTTAGCCCAAATGGCCTATATTTTCATTATACATTTGCACTTATTCACATGGCATTATTGTTGTTTATGCTAAAGTTCATATGTCTAAGTAAGACTACAATACTACAATTTTTGTTTGCGCTTTTCAAAATATGAAGATGAAAACAGGTTTTAGTAAAATTATTTCTGCAGAGTATCCACTTTCTATGAATACTGTCAGCCAGTTGGAGTTATTTTTCCACAAGAAATTGACATACTTTTTGCACTTAGTTGCATTTTAGCACCGCTTTTCTTGTTCTAGAATTTTGAGGCTGTATTTTTCTAGATGGAAAACATCGTCTCAGTGAACAAAACTCATGAGTTTAGAGCTATGTAGAGAACACAATAGCTAAAAAAAAATTAGTTAAGAAAAGGAATGGTATTTCAGAGTCTTTTTTGTGTTGCATAGCAATAAAGAAATATGACTAAATCAAAGGGTCACATTCTAGCAACCTAACAAATGCTTTACTTCACAGCGATCCCATTAACAGGCCCACCTATAGAGTAACATACTATTCAGCATGATATGGGCGTCAAAATCTGTCCCAAAATATATTTGGCAGGAAGAGAAAACTCATGTATTAATTCAAATAATTATCACTTGAAGTACACTTATCATTTACCCACTGAAAGAATACATTAAAATCCATTTGCATTTTCAGTTTTATTATATAAACATTTCAGTAGAAAATTTGATTTTTAAACAAGCAAAAATGCATCAAGTTTAGCAAACCACACAAGACAATAATTTAAAGTTAACACGGGTAAAAACATATAGTCTAGAAAAAAAATGGGAATTTAAAGAACGTTAATACATGTGAAAAAGCAAGCAAAGTTAGAGAAATACACAGGGAAATGTTTAAAAGTCTCAGAGGAGTAGCCATGTTAATCTGTAAATGAAAAAAATTAAAAAACAACGAATGGTCCTGCAGCATCGAGGAGAATAACAAAAAATGTTAATTGTGTCATGAGCTTTCATTAGAAAAAGTGGGTTGTGCCCACAAAAGCTCATGACACGATCTACATTTTTTTTTGTTAGTGTCTAAGGTGCTGCAGGACCATTCATTGTTTAAGTTTTTTTTACAGTAAAATGTTGTAATTCTAAGAAGAACATGGTAAAAATTTTAAAACCTTTAGGAGAAATAAATACGCTAGTGAAACAAGTATCCTGTCAATCAATAGGCATTTAAAGTAGAGAATAAGTCAGTCTTTTAGTAAGTTGATCATTCTTATCTGGCAATAACATTTCTTCCTCTTGGCTTATTAAATGTAATCTTCTTGAAAAGAAGAACAGAATCTGCAATACAGAGACCAACTAATAGAAGACCAAAGACCTGCAAATAAAAAGAAAATCTCAGTTTCCTCTTATGCACATCATAATTAATTGTTTATTTTCTTGACCTTTCACTGTAATAACTCATTCATTACCAATTCTGAGCAGATGTAGTTGTGTCAGATCAAGTAAATTGGTTCTGGCTTTCTAAACATTTCTGGATGAATATTTGATTTGTGATGATTGAGAAATTCAGTATTCTCCATACTTAAGGTCAGATACACTGCACACCCTCATAAAATGACTTTCCGCTTATGCTCTGGCAATCATCTTTGCCCCAACCTTGTTTGACCTTTATCTGTCATCTCTAAGAATAGGAAGTGACTGTCTCTATGGAAACCAGACTACAGATATGCTTCTTTATGTGAGATTTGGTTCTGAAGGAAAACAATCTGTCTGTGTAAGGGATGATCTACTTAATGGTTTTGTACTGGAGTACACTCAATGTTTGCATATGCAAGACTAGAAAAAATATACTTTTCTTTCTGAAGTTTTGAAGTGAAAAAACTCTGAACTGACAAAGTTATCTTATTTAATGTTTAAAATGTGAATACTTGTTATTAAAACATGTGTATAACATTATAAGTTTCAGTCAGATGGAAGCAAAACAAGTGCCTAACAACCAGGACTCTTAAAATAGGTCTCTGTTGCAGGGTTAACTTAGGACAGCACCAACATGAGAACCTAAGACCCTGTCTGTTCATACACAAAGCACCAAAGTTTGGTGATGCTTTAAGCCTGTGCTAGGAAGTCTGGATCGGAGTATAAGCTAGAAGCTGGATGCCACTTAAACTTGGGCTGGTAACCCACCCATTTTACAGGGAAGAAGCAAGCCTAATCACTCAATTGAAGATAAGTCCTTCAATGCCTTTTCACAATTTACATGTGTCCAGGAGGCAAGACAAGTTCTCCAAGACACCAAGGAAGAATCATGGAGCAGCTCTACTTACTGCAGCACAATGAACCTTGGGATATATCCCCAAATGTCTAGTTAACACATGTGGATGAGTGTGGTACCAATGAGAGCACAGTGAATATAGCTACACAGCAGCCAGAAGGTGTGAATCCCTTCTCAGGAAGATGAGGTTAGCTCTGCTTGAGCTAGTATGTGGTAATTAGTAGCTTACCCGCTGCAGCACCTAGCCAAGCAAGTACAATCCCACTCACCCCGGATTCCATGGATACATTCTCAGGTGCTAGCCTGAGGCACTGCCCAGGACACTGCAACCAGGCTATTTTTAGGTACTAACTTGAGCTGAGCTAGCACAAGTACATTTATGCATGCTGGGAGTTAACCACCCTGCTTTTGGATACAAATGCAAAGTAATTTCAGTATGGCTTTGCTGTGTGACTACTCATACCTGGGCAGCAACTCAACCTTGCAATGAGAAGCCACATAAAATAGCAGCGCTTAGCACCTCTTTTGTTACTGCATATTATCAATTAAGGAGCAGGTATGTACTTGAGCTAAAGGTGTAGCATGTATGGGTCACTATGATAATAATAACAGTGTCTCTGCACTAGTGTGCACAGACAGAGTAACCATCCCAAATACGATGCTGCCCAGGATCCTACATACTTGGCCAGCTGGCTCATGCCACAGTTTGTACCACTGGGCTTCACTCTGTGCTAGGGCACTTGAACTGGAAATGCCTCCAGCTAGAAAGCACACACATCTCCAGTATCACTTGGACTCTTGATGCTTTGTGTGCTAAACTACAAAGTTACATAAATCACTTCTAAAGAATCTGTTCCTGGAGTGACAGTATTTTCTCTACATTTAATAAAGAACACTGGAATAGACCATGGTCACAAGCTTTTTTAAAAAGTGTTTTGTCATTATCTTTAGCAAAAACAAACTCTTACTAAATATATAGTCTTCTTTTGCAAGTTTATTAACTAATTATGATAATCTGTAAGATACTAAGATGTGCTTTGCTTTTACTGTTTGCTTGTTACTCATTTACATATGACAGTCCTCCATTTGTATTTGGAGGGAGGGGAGAAGTACTGAATCTTTACTTAGATGTTCCTTTATCAAATGATAACACCAGACTGGATGTCTAGTATGTTAAAGATAATTTAGCAAATTCTGTTTAAACACGAGATGCATTCTAAAACATATTTATATTATCCAGAACTTTACATTGCAAGTCAGTGGTGTTTGCTACCCCAAACAAACAGTTTCCAAACAATACTACAGGCAGTCCCCGAGTTACATGGATCCGACTTATGTCGGATCCACAGTTACGAATGGGGTTTGCTCCCCGTCTCCCTGGTCTGCTGGAGACCAGCAGACCAGGGAGACAGGGAGCAAAGCCTCTGAGGACGCTGGCAGCGGGATAGCCGCGGCGCGTCTGGGCTGTCCGCTGCCCGCGTGCTCCCCGGGAGGACCCGGGCGGCGGGACCACGGTGCGTCTCGGTCCACTGCCTGCGTCTCCCTCGCCTGCTGGGGGGGGGGGGCGGGCGCGCA